TTTAATACAGATGGATAGTGGCTGGTAGGTCTTTACTATTAGTAAATGGATAGTGGCTGGTAGGTCTTTTAATACAGTTGGAAAGAATGAGGTGATGTTGTAATAATTGAAAATGGCTGAGAAAACCACTAGTGGGACATTCTGAGCTTTCGATTGGTTATTCACACGTCATAGACAGAAGTGTATATAAGGGAGCATTTCCAAAAATGGAAAGAGGTAAGCAGGGCCACTGTGTTTGATTCAGTACATGAGTGATATCTCAGCAAATAGAAAAGATAGGAGGTTCTTATTTTATATTCTAGCTTGTTAATATCAGCAATTTGTGTTCCTAATTCGTACTAAACTATAAACTTTGTATTTTGACACCACAAAGTAAAATTTGAACCAGTGCTCCATTCAACATACCACGTAACACAAAAAAATTGATGTTTAGGTGTGTTTTTTAATATTTACTTTTAAATTTAAAAATTAAATAATATTTAATGCTAAAATTTGAATGATAATATACGGTTTGATACTAAACTTATTGACATAAATTCATAAAATAGTATGTGAATAAAATCTTGAATGCAAGTCAACAAACACAATGACATGGCCTTTTTTGACCCATAGCGATAGGTTGAACAAGGATTTTGGGAAAATTCATTAATGAAATGTATAAGTAATAAGTTTATTGAAGTATATTTTTCAATATTTACTCTACAATTACTGTAAATTAATTAACATTCTTATAACTGAATAAAAAGACAACAAATGTATCTTCAAGGTGAAGTCTGTCATCAGTGGTTTTAGTGCAATCAGTAATTATTTCAGCCATTACATAAATGCACTACAACAAATGTATTAAGTTCACAGGCAACCCATCAAGTCAATTAAAACTATTTTTATTTAAGCATGAATAGAGAGTACAGTTATCTAACAGCAGAAAATTTGTTCTAAACAATCATGTAACATATCATAAGAGAACAAATAATTAAATTAATACATAAATCAATAGTTTCAGTAGAGTAATAATATATAGTAATACATGGTCAAAAGCTTATGTATACAGATTATTATAAGAAATCAAAGTATACGGTGAATTGGAAAATTCAAAGCAGTTTTTATCAATAAACCTATTACTAATATATTTCATTAAGGAATTTTCCCAAAATCCTTGTTAACCCTATCACTACGGATCAAAGACCATGTCATTGTGTTTGTTGACTTGCATTCAAGATTTTATTGAACTACTATTTTATGAATTTATGTCATTAAGTTTGGTATCAAACTGTAGATTATAATTCAAATTTGAGTATTATACATTATTCAGTTTCTTAATTTAAAATATAATAAAAAACACACATACCTAAACATCGATTTTTGTGTGTCATGTGGTGTGTTGAATGCAGCACCGGCTCAAATTAGATGTTTGTGATGTCAAAATACTAAGTCTATAGTATAATAATTTAAATTTGACTATATTTTACAAAATACTAGTCCACTAAAACACAGCCAAGACGGGTCACTTTGTAAAGACTAAAGGTCAGTTTTATATTATTGGATATGGTATCATGAGTGCATGGCTGAAAGGTTAATATATAAATAATGAATATATAATGTTATGAGATTAAAGCTATTTAGACTAAACGTTTGTGATTTCATGTTATAACTTCTAGTCATTCTAGAATGAAAAAGGCATAATTTATATTTATTTCCAAATTTTTATGGTAGTTACGAGGTTGGTCAAATTGACAGACTCCATAGAGTTGGGGTAGAGAAAATAACAAAGTATAAATGTACTTAGGATGTTTTAGAGATTACACAAATAATATTTGAGATTTTTGGCACAAAGAATAGTTTTTAATCATGACATGAAAATCACTTTGCACTCGGATTAGTAATGAAACACACTCGATATTTTCACAAACAAATCTTTAGTAAAAATATTTAATTAAAAAATCTGAATTTTTGTGTACCATTCTGATATGATTTTGCCCTCTTTTAACTGGGAGAAAATGAGAAAAAAATGAAATTCCAAGAGGAAGATAAATTAGAATAAATGAAGAGCTCAGATTACTCCTTGAATAGCAGAATTGTCTAGTTTTGAATTAAATGTTCCAGAGCAAGCTATTTCAAATATGGGCATTAAATGATTTCATGTTACTGCTCTCTACTTTACTGATTATTAATTGCAGAATGTATATATTATGTATATAGTGTGTTAGGGCTGAATAATTAAACAAAAAAAAAGCTTTTGAAAGAGTATAACATGCACAAAATATGTTTACTCTGCATCTATATTATGTGGATTAATCTACTTCTGAAGCTAAAAAATATATGTTATGCATAATAACCATGTTTATCTTATAAAAGGTGATTTATTATAAGTATTTTAACATCTGTCAGTGACTGTTTCTTCAAAAGTTACATTTCATTTTCATGACAATTAACTATGAAATAACGTAAAGTTCCAGTTTATTCAACAGACAAGTATTACAGTTGTAAACTTACATAAATACTTCATAAAAAAAACTTTGATATGTTAAAAAAGATACATTTACATACAGTTTATACAGTTTTTCTTTATAGAAAAAATACCAAAATTTTAATTTTTACAAATTTTTGAACATACAAGATGTAATTCACATAATTATCAATTTCGATCATGTTCTGTATTAATTGGTAGTAACACACACTCAGCATCTCAAATATAGTAACAACATGTTAGCACTTAATTGCCCCTACTGATCTCCCTGGTGCTCTAAACCTTAGTTTGAGGAAGTCAGTACATTGCTTTATTTTATTTTTCCTTAAATTTTTTTCCAAAAAAATCATTAGCTGAAATAACTTAACCAAAAAAATAGTGGCCTTTGCAATTAATGATTAGTAATTTATGCTCTAATTCAATCTGTAAATCTTCTTTGACTGTGAAAAAGGTGAACTATAAATTTTGCTGATTGATTTGATTTACTAGTTTTTATCATAAATATGTAATTCACTCCTGCATAATTTCTGTTTCAGGGTTTAGTTACAGAATACAATGATTTGGGAAATAGTCACTATTTTGATCCTCGAAGTCAACAGTCTTTTAAATATGATCACCTAAGAAAAGAAGCCACAGAGTTCCAGTCTTATGAACCTGATCAGGCTGCTGAGTCTTGGCGGTCAGCATTAGAGAATACTTGGACTCGTTACACAGAGGACCACTACAGGCATGGCAATTGTTCTGTCTTTGGCCATAGCCATGGTGGTAACATTACCCTTGTTGCTTGTATTGAGGACCATCAGTTCCAACCTAAAAACTATTGGTAAAGTCTTAATGTAGTCACTTTATATTATTCTTTGTTGTCATAGTACTATGAGAATATGTTCAGCACTATAAAAGGTAGGAAATTTTTGTTTTCAACAACAAGCTATTACATCTTTTTCAAAGCAAATTTTTGTGTGAACAAAGTAGTTTATATTTTTCACAAATTTCATGCTAAAAATTTTAAGAATTGTCAATAGTTTAGACTGCACAAATACCAAGTATAATAGTTTAGTTTTATAGAAAACCCCCACAGCCACCTGTCTAAAGTAGATGTAGAATGTAATTTTTTGGACAACATTCAAACAGCAAAGAAGACTAAATTTATTTTAGGGGATATTCTGTACGTTTTATAGTTTCAGATTAACTTGGTTTTAAGAATGAATTTAATGTCTGAATTATTTTGCTACATTTCTTTAAAGGCCTATTAATATCATTATTTGTATTATATGTTTGTTTTTAAATACATTGCTTTTGAACATGGTTCTCACAGGTTTGGGAAACTGAGAAAAGTCAGTGAATTTTATATTTTGCATTACTGGCCCAGAAAATGTCAGAGTATTTCATTTTACAGACAAAAACTGGTAAAATCATTGAATGTCATTGTGATTCAGTGATGCTTTTAGTAAATGGATGGGGAAAAATTATCGTTAGTGCCAAAAAATTAAATGCAGGTTAATTCTGGCACATTTAGCACTTCAGTTTATGTATTTTATAGATAAAAATTATTTGTCTGATTCTGTGTTTTTGTTTTCCATTAAGTCATGGAGTATGAAGGCAGCTGTATTAGATTACATAAAAAATATCTAGGTTTCTGTCTAAATGGACGGTTAGGGCTCTTGACAAGGCTTTGTTTCATCTTCCTAAAACTAGATCACAAAGGATCATTTTACTACAAATTAAAACTAAGAGTCCTTAAGAAATTACTATTTAGAGATAGGCTGTTTCTAATAAATAAGTTACTTTCATCTTACAATTTTAGTGCATTAATAAAACAGTCTCCAAGTGGTACCCATAGAAGGAGATACATAATCATACATAGAGTTATGTCTTTAACATTAGTGTATGCATTTGTAACATGATCCTGTGTTACAAGGGGAATCCTCTGCCTTTACCAAAATGGGCAAGTCATAAAACTCTTCTGTTACACTGCCTACAGCTAGTCAACTATTAAAAAGATACAATTCTATAATTGTTTATATCCAACACCATCAGGCAGTAAAGTAAAGATAATAGTTAATAATTCGACATTTGTAAACATACATACAGCAAAATTGTTTTGGAAATATGTTTTGTGGAAACTAATCTATCTTACAATAATTCATAACTTATTTTTGAGTGAAAAGTAGATCACTTCATCGTGTATACTAGATAAGTGAAGGAGTGTGTTTTATTTAGCTATCTAGTATAGTCTATGAAGTTTGGGAGTATTGAGGTACGTTTTAAATTTCTTTTCACAATTGCAATATCAAATTGAATTCAAGAAAAAATAAAAACTCTTTATGTTAATGTTTTGTAAATAATGCTTACTAGCAGTAGGCTATCAACTGACATATCTTTCTGATAGGTCTACAATACATGGAAATGTTACTGTTATTTAGTGATGGTTAAGCAAGAACTGAATTTGATAACAGCAACAAAGAAGCTGGTGTGCACAAATCACATGCTGGTGTTCTTAAAACATTTACCTTTATTTGACTATTTCTAGTCAAATAATTTAATTGTGAAGACATTAATTATTATGTATTATGGAAAAAGGATGTTATTTCTTGAGTGATTGACATTTTTTTAGTTGTATGCTTTACATGTGCATCTTAAATATGTGTATAGAATTTTGTCAATCACTTGTGTTGAAGGCTTTAATAAACTACATGTAAAGTTAGTATTAACCCTTTCGAGATGGGTCACGGGTGAAAGGCCATGTCATCTCGTTTGTTGACTTGCATTCAAAATTTTATTGAACTACTATTTCATGAATTTATATCAATAACTTTGGTATCAAACTGTAGATTATAATTCAAATTTTATTATTATACATTATTCAGTTTCTTAATTTAAAAACAAATATTTGAAAAAACCAGATAAACATCAATTTTTGTGTGTCATGTTGTATGTTGAATGCAGCACTGATTCAGATTAGATGTTTGTGAAGTCAAAATACTAAGTCGCAGGAATTAAAAACTCAAATTACTGACATTGACAAGCTAGAATATAAAATAAGAGCCTTTTATCTTTTCAATTTGCTAAGATATTGCTCATGTAATAAATCAAACACAGTGGCACCCCACCCACCTCTTTCCATTTTTGGAAACACTTCAATATATGACATGAATAACCAATAGGAAGCTCAGAATATCTCCCTAGTGGCTTTCTCAGTCCTTTTAATGGGTTTGGCACCATTTCTTTCTTTTGAACCAATATTTCAATGAGGTAGGGGTGTCTTTATTCTACTCAAAATTTCATTATTTTTAAACTAAAATACATCTTAGTTAGTAATCTTGATAAATTATAGTGGAACTCTATGGTATTAATGTAGTAATTTATGAATTTTTAGTTATTCAAATGTATATATAAAACCTAAAAAAATATTTTGTTTCATATCCTCCACGTGCAAATTTTTTAAAGGCTTAGCAACATCAAGCAGCAACTGTGTACAAAGATCATAACTAGAAGAGATAATTGTTTGCTTTACTTCCTTAGTTACTGTTCTATGTTTTTAGAAAAATAAATTTAAGAAATTATTTCCAAATAGCAATAATCTATATAGATATATAAATGTATAATAATTGAAATGTGACTGTATTTTACAAAATACTAGTTTACTAAAACACAGCCAAGACAAGTTACTTTGTACGGACCAAAGGTCAGTTTTATGTTATTTGATACAGTAACATGAGTGCACGTGAGCCATGTTATTGTAACTTCTGTATTGTTAG